CAGCTATCATCAACTGATACTGCAGTGTTAACAATATTTGAGGAAGATTGACAAATTTCTTTCACAGTATCAATTATTGTTTCTTTTGCGAAAATTTGAGCACAATCAGAGACAAGTTTAATAATTTTGTTGTAGTTATTTTTAGTCATAGGTTTAGGAATGTTAATTAAAGATGAAAACTTTTTTAATCCTGAAAAACTTTGATCAAATGAAGACATTTACAATTCTATTAGTTATATCAAAAGTTTTTTTCCCAGAACATGTCTTTGAAGTATAAAATTCATTTTTTTCATAGCAGTTAGAGCAGCATTTATTTAACATTGAGGAGAATCCTTTATTTTTTTGGAAAAACTTTCTGAAAGATTTAAATTTGATTGTAATCATTTTTTGCAATAAAAGTTAAATATACCAGACAACTTTTCAATATCATCAATTTGATAACCAACAGTTTTAGTTTAACTATGCTGAGTACTCTCAAGTTTCCCAAAACTTTTTTGAGGATATAGATAAATTTAAAGAGGTGTTACAAAAAAAATGGTTGTTTTCATAACTGATAACAGGAGCAACTGATAAATCGAATGGCAAAGTTTTAGTGTATTTATTTCCATAAATTTTTCTGGATTTTTCACTATGAGTACTTATTTTGATTCTACATGATATACCCATTGTTAAAAAAGTTACAAAAGTTATAAAAAAACACCGAAATAGCTTGCAATTCTGATTAAAAACCTGTTGTTATGCGTGTTGCTAGGCAGATCAAATTTACCCAGTTGAAGAAATTGACTTATATCTCAAGAAAAAAAACCTTACTTTGAGAAATGGTTTTCAAAATCGAGTTCAGCATAAGTTTTGTGTCAAAATTACACAAAATATATTTTTTGATTTTTTTATGATTTTTGAGGGGTCTTATACCTTAAGTATTAAGGGGTCAAATTTTAAGTGTCAAGGAATCAAATTTTAAATTGTAATGAATAACACAATTGAGTTTTTTAAATTAAAAACTAACTAGTGAATATTTAACTTGTTTCGTAATGTAAAAAATGTAAAATTTCGAAATATAAAATGTAAAAGCATGATTCTTTAGCCGCCTTGTATTGCATTTTGTTAAAAAAATCTTAATTGCAATATAATTATGAACTTAAGTTGACTACGGAGAAAGTATAACATTTTTCTTGATAACATAAACAATGATAAACTTATATTGATTCAAATATTAAGGTTAAAAAAGTGTTAAGTGATATGGGGTCAAATTTTAAGTGTTATGGGATCAAACTTTAAATTGTAATGAATAACACAACTGAGTTGTTTAAATTAAAAAACTACCTAGAGAATGTTAAACTTTTTTCGTTAAGTTATTTTAAAAATTTAAAAACATGATTTTTTAGGCGCCTACAATTGCATTTTGTTAAAAGAATCTTAATTGCGATAAAAAGAACAAATAGACCAATTTTCTTTAGAACTTAAAACACAACTTCATTTTTTTGTACTAAAAAATGTAGTTATACTAATAAATTATTTAAAGTAAAAGTATTTATCTTTTAGCTTTTATGTTTGCTCAATTGAAATGTTCTAATATTTTATTTTTTCAATTATAATTATTTTTATTGAAGTCCGAATTCTAATAAAAAATTCTGATTTAATTCAGAGTAAGTTTAAAACATTAAAAAAAATGTTCTCACTTTAATGTGTGTGTTCAGAAGTGTGTTTTTATAGCCAACTTCTAAGTACCGTATTTTTACAAAAATATCCTTATTTAACACTTAGATAATTAATATTTACTAGCTGTAAGCAACCCGTAATACGGGTTAGTAGTAATAAATCATTACTAACAATTTGATATTTATTTACTTTCTCTAACAAAATATAAATTTATTTATACAGTTAGCAACCTGTAATACGGGTTATTAGTAAATAAATCATTACTAACAATTTGATCTTTATTTACTTTCTCTAATGAAATATAAATTTATTTATACATTTTTTTAATTGCGATCACTTTTATTTTTCTTGGCTTCTTAGTTTAAGAGAACTCTTAGCTTCATTAAAGATAAAATTAACCATAAAATGATTTGAATTATACGCACAAAAAATCGATGTCAAACTTTCAAATTCCGTAAAATTGTTTAGGTAAATATTGGGAATATATTCTACTCTTAATTTTGCTTTAAGCTGAGTCGTTTCTTTATTTTTTAAACTTCTCATTTTACTGAGTGAAGAGCTTCAAAATATGTCACTATCGCACCTAAACCTTTTAAATGTTATTAATATATTTTTTAAATATTTTTAAAACATCTAAAATATTACACCCAAACTTGTAGGCATAGAAGTTGGATATCCGGAAAAATTATAAGTTGAAAAATATATCGCAATTCCCAAAAGGGTTTACCCTGCATACGGATCCTATATATTATGATAAAGATTATTATTTAAACCAACCTTTTTTTTAATTAGTAATCCAGCAGAAACTTGTTTATAAAAAAACAAAGGAATATATGGATTTACTATAATAGCTAACGTGTATCAACATATTTATTTCAGCATACATCCAATCCATATTTATACTTATTTTATAAAATACATTTTGTCTTAACTTGGCGTTAGATTATTAGTTTTATTTCATTAATTTTTGTATAGATCAGGTTAATAATAAAAGCAATTGGATTTTACTCAACATTTTTGAAGTAATTATTCAGCTTTAATAAAATTGATAAAATCATAAAAGACAGTTAAAAAATATATTTAACCTTTGTTCACTTTTTGAAAATCCGTAAAAAAGCAAGTATCAAATTTACTTATCTTTAAAAGAAATTTATTTACCTGATATATAGTTAAATATGTAACAAAAATATTTTTAAACAGAAGCATATATAAAACACATGTTTCTTAAAAAAAACAAAGTTGAAGCCACCATTTACAGCACCGAGGAGCCAAGCATAGCCTATTGTAAAGAAAACCATATCAAACAATTTAAAATATTTATTACCGATAGGGACTACAGTTAAACATATTTAAAAAGCTACGTGATTCCATATTAGTAGAATTGTTATAGAAAAGTATATTAAAAAAGTATATTAAAAAAAAAATGTATTAAATAGAAAACAGATTTTTAAAAACTACCTAATTTTGTAAGCATTTTACCAATGATGTTCAACTTTGAAACCAATATCTTTAATGAAAAGCCGACTTGTTTCACTAAAATCATCCAAAGAATAAAATTATTAACACTTAAATATAAAGAAAAAAAAATGAATAAGATATAAACAATCGTACTATAGTATTATATAAATAAGTAGATATATATGAAAAAAACAACAACTGTAAAACAGTATACCTGCTTTTGGTAACCTATTGTGATACTGCAGCAGTTGCTGTAGGGATGCAGCTGTTCTTTTTGGTGTTGTTCAAAAACGTAATTTTTATGTTGGCTTTTAGTAAACTTTATTTTAATTTAAAAGACATCACAACGGATTTAAAATATTCATAATAAAAAGAGCAAAACATAAAATGCTTTAAGGAGCCAAACTCTAAACATAAATAATAAAGAATGGAATCGAGATAAATAAATTGTATTTATATAGCTAAATATATTGCCTTGGGTTTTGGTAAATTTTAAAAGCAGTACCAAATAATTGTTTTTAACAAAAGAATGCAGCATCATTATATTATGATAATTGGATAACAAATCAATTCAACGTTCGACTTTAGAATTTAGAGAAGGGTATTTAAGAGGGCTTTAAATTTGAAGTCAGGTTTTATTGGTGAGAAAACAATTAAAAATTTTATTAAAAAAGATTAAAACAAATTAAATATACAACGTAATATATATTTAAAAAAAAAATTACAAAATTATAATAAAAAAAATACCGAAACAAAAAATTACAAAATTAAAAAAAAAAAAAAAAAAACGAAGAAAAAGCAGCAACTAAAAACTCATAAATAACTCTACTGATAGAAGACATTTACAACCTTTTGGTTGCTGTTTTTTCTTCGGTGTCTCCCAACACCCCGGTATGGATGATCTCTCCATTTAAAGGAGGGCTCATCCATACTGCTATTACGTTTCCATTTATTGAAGGACCTCTCTGAGAGAGGTCCCGGGTGTTGCGAGCGATAATTTTGGTAATTAGTAAGGGTTAAACATGCAATATTTTGTATTTTAATAAACATATAGGGCAATAATGCAATCAGTTCAAAAGTGTCATATTTATTAATTAATTTTTTCACCTATTGCATATATTTCTCCATACAAAATATATAAAATATAAAACAGAATCCTACCAGCTATACTTCCATCTGACACTAAAGACAATATATATACTTAAATAAATATATAATAATCAATAAATAAATAGTAACATATAAATAAATACATATCTAAATAATTGTTTTACCCATCCCCCTCATTTCATCCATAAAGTTGTCTAAAGTAAGAAAAAAAGAACTAAAGCTAAAAACAAAACTATAAACTGAAACAAAACTATAAACTAAAGTAAACTTTAAATCTTCTAAATTTTAATGCTTTATTTATTACACTAAACTAATCATAATTTATACTTAGTTTTTGTTCCAACTCCCCTAAAAGAAAGTATAAAAAAAAAGTTAAAGAACTTGATTTTTTTAAATTCCAGTGGCAGTACAAATAAACAAATTCCTATTAACAAATATCTAAAAGCAAAAACACTGACTTATTTCCTTCTTCACTTCTGTATTTAAACAATAAAAGCACTTTAATGTTTAGAAGTTCAAATATCGATAAAATATATATTAAATGCTACATTTAACTAATGTAATTAATACGTTTATTAGATCTCTCTTGATTAACTTAAGAATTTAAATTTTAAATAAACTCTAACTAAATTTTAACAAACAACCAAAATAAATCTTTACTTTAATAGTACGTTATTAAGTTGATTAATAGATCAAACAATTTAATCTACTCTAATAATCTACTACCTTATTCAGTGTAACTATTATATGAATATTTTTAAAGTAAGAAAGAATTTAATATTATAATATCTATGATTTTAAAAACCTGAAATTTTAAATCTACCTCGAAGAAAACAGATACATATTAAAAAGTATTTTTATTTCTTTTTAAAAATTTAAAATTGCTTTACAACTTACTTGTTCCAATATTAACAACAACGTCTAAATAGAAAAACAAGTCGACTCATTCTTAAATCTTATAATATATATGACTTTAAAAACCTGAAACTTTAAATCTACCTCAAAGAAAACAGATATATATTGAAAAGTATTATTATTTCTTTTTAAAAATTTAAAAATGCTTTTTACCTTACTTGCTTCAATATTGTCATCATCTAAATAGAAAAATAAACAAACATTTAAGTCGACTCATACTTAAATCTAGTTTAATTTCTTCAATATTAAAAAAAATTTAATTTTTGAGGTTAAATTCATTTACAAAAGTTCGTTTAAGTTCGTTTAAACCATTTGAATATTGTAAAGTTAATTTAAATTAACAAACATATTAATGCAACTTATAACATTTGAAAGAAAACTTACTTCTTAGTAATTCAGCAACTAAAAATAAACATATATTTAAGAACTAACAACATAACATTATACATCTGTAACATAATACACATCTAAATAAATACAAACCTTCATCTTCAATCTGATTCATTCTATTAATTCTATATAAAAAATAAAAACAAATATGCTTAAAAAGAAATTTAATAAAAGTAATAGACATGTTAAAACATAAAAAATTAAAACGATTGAATTGATTATACTGAATATGACCTACTTGATAGGTACGATTAGATGTAAAAAAAATTTATAACGAAAACGCGCTTTTTAAAATAAGTCTGGAAATTCCAATCTCAAAATTCCAGAACAGAAGAAAAACTGCGCACAAACCAAACTGCGCAACACTTAGCGCAGTAACTAAAGTAAAAGAACATTTAATTTAGCTATGCAAATTACATCACGCATGTTTAATTAAGTACGCTATGATTATCAACTTTAAAAAGTGGCTAAAATTTAAACTCATTACGCAACTAATCAGTTTATTTACTAATAAGTGCAATAAACATATCTGTACATATAGATAATTTTAGGAGCTAACTTGTCTTAATTCAATTTTTGTGTAAATGAGTTTAATACAAACTTGTCGCATATTCTGTCGGGGCCAAATAGCCTTCTAATTTTTATTTACTGCGGTTTAACAGGAAACAAAAATCAATCTAGTCTTAAATCCATTTTATTAGCTAAAAAATGATAAAAGAGTATTACTATACTATCACATTTATACTTGTATATATCACATTTTGCTACTAAACATGTTTTAAATTGACTTTTGAGGTTGTTAACGTGACATAATCTCATGATTGCAAACAAAGCTACCGGACCCGGTCATGTTAAGCCTTCTAAACTCTGATTATTTCTATATTGAATAGATGGCCTCTTTATTTCAATAATTTTTTGCAAACGGTAAAGTAATTTGCTGCCATTTACTAAATATTCCTTTTATTACTCGAAGTTTCGGTTTCGTCAATATTTTGACATCTCCGCTAATTAAGAGCCACTCCCCTTTTTTTGTTTTAATGGTAGCCATGTGAGTAGATTTTTTTAAAATTAGGAGTAATCTATTTATGATGAAGACCTTTTACCAAAATAATAAAGCGTAAAGCAACGATTTACATATATAAGAATTTTTTCTTTCCTCAAAGGTGTTGCAATTGCAGACTAAACTAATCAACTCAATATTTGACAAACTGCAAGTCTCCCTGTGTTTTTAACAACAAATTATTAAAGCAAAAGATAGGGAAAACATGGGAAAAAAAAAATATATTAATGTCTTTATATCTTTTTAACAAACGAACAAAATTTTACAAATTTAGGAAATCAAGTTTTTTTTTTTAATATGGTATTAATACGTCATATGGTAAAATCTAAAATAAAAAAAAGTAACGGAATTATAACATCATATATATATATATATATATATATATATATATATATATATATATATATATATATATATATATATATATATATATATATATATATATATATATATATATATATATATATTTATATATATATATATATATATATATATATATATATGTATATATATATGTATATATATATATACATATATATATATATATATATATAAATATATATATATATATATATATAAATATATATATATATATATATATATATATATATATATATATATATATATATGTATGTATATATATATATATATATATATATATATATATATATATATATATATATATATATATATATATATATATATATATATATATATATATATATATATATATACACAACATATAAACACTGAAAACCGAATTACCTTTTTTTGTAACCTTTTGAAATTGCAGTTAATATAAACATTTATAGAAAAAAGTAGCTATAAAATCTTTTTTGAAGTACTAAAGGATTAACAATACTAAAGAAAAAAAAAATCAAATAAAGACATAAATTGAATTTTTAGCAAGATTTTGTCTTGGCTTTTAATAAATGAATAAAAGCAGCAAGTTCCAATAATGAAACTATCTATTATTCATTTTTTTAACAATAGACATCAACGGGAAGGTAAGCCAAGCTGTCTATCAACACAAAACATCACAACAATATAACAATATTATACATTATAAAAATTCATTACAAAATTATAACAATAACACAAAACATTAACACATATTCACACCTATATAACTAATATTTAGACCCTTGACGCTAAAATCCAGTGGAAAATAACAAACCAATTTTTTTAGAATAAAAAAAGCAAAACTAAAAAACCAATTTTGAGTTATCTATATTTATCCTTTTACTAAACTTTAATATAGTATATTTGCTTTTATATTCAATATAAGTTATTCAATTATCTTTAAATTTAAGGATCAAGGTTGCATACTCTTTTATACACATTACACAAAACATTACCAGACATTATGTGTTTCCAGAATAATTAAAAAAAGCTAGACAACACAACCTAGCTCTAAAGCAGTAACACCGCCTGGCACAAAATGGTGCCAAGTCACACCTCTGCTATAAGTACACCGCTTGGCTGGCAAGGTTAACAATCTTGCTTAACATTTTGCCAAGTCACACCACTTTGAAAACATGGAAACAACATAATGTAAACATATATACAACTATAAAAAAACATGACTTCATATAACACATATAAACACAATATATAACAATATTAAATGACAAATATATTTATCAAAAACTATGAAAAAAATAAAAATAATAAAGTTACACATACAAAATGTGCTCACAATCTACAAACAGTAAATTTTAGAAACGAAAATATTAAGACTAAAAATTAAGAACATTACAAAATACAACATTATTTGTGTAGTATTTTTCACCTACCATACCTTGAATAGGATGTTTATCAAATTTGAAAAACAAACTAGTAAATGCTCTAGTTCTTTAACATGCAACGTATAGTTGACCATGGGAGAAACACGGTTTTTTTAGATATACCCCAACTCTATCAAATGTTTGACCTTGACTTTAATTGATTGTCATCGAATAAGCTAATCTGACAGGAAACTGACGACGTTTTACAACAAAAGGTAAATTAGAATCTGATGGAGCCAACTGAATTCAAGGAACAAATACCCGTTTACCTTCAGAAACACCTTCAGAAACAAAACCTCTGCATCAATATAATTGTTTTGGAGAGCACAAACTTTCATTCGGGTTCCATTACATAGCCCAGCTTTAAGATCTAAATTTCTAAGTAGCATAATTACACAACCAATTTTCAATTTTAAACAATGAGTAGGCATACCTGAAGGAGTTAAGCTGTTCAAAAACTCAACAGGAAAACTATTTATTTCATTAAGATTGTCAGTGTTTATTTGATCAGCACTTAAATAAGTTTTGACCTCTCCATGTAGACGTTCAAGCACTTCTTCATTGATTGACAATGAATCCACATTAGTGGGTGTTAAAATGACGCGTTTAGCATAATCATCTTGTTGAGCATCTCCGAATATTTTTTCAACAATTGGTTCGTTTTCTCTAATAATGCACTGTTGCGGTATTTCAATACATCTCTTAAAAGGATCTTCCTCCTTGCCAGGTATTGTTCCACTACCAAGTTTTAACAGCCATTCGGAAAAATCTCCTTTTCCATCACGTATTATCATATTTTTATAAACTTCTGCACCCATTGCCACTGTAAAGAACATTTTATACATGATTCTACAACTTCAGCTGGTCTCCCTCTTTTCACAACAGGCAAAATTTGCCTAAAGTCACCACCAAAAAGAATGACTTTTTCTCTAAATGGAAAGTTGTTGTTGCAAACATCTTTTAACAACCGATTGATTGCATTTAAAGCGTGTTTGGGAATCATGGATGTCTCGTCAAGCATAAACAAACTAACTTGCCTTAAAAATTGTCCCTGAATAGAGTTAGGAGTCACATTACATGTGCTGTTATCCAGTATTGGGATAGGAAGTTTAAATAACCCGTGCAGCGTAGATCCATTTGTAAGAAGATTTGCTGCTATGCCAGTCCATGCAGCTGTAGCAGATTTAACACCCCTACTGCTCATTTCAGCATTCAAATAATTATATGTAAAAGTTTTGCCGCTACCGGCTAGTCCATCCATAAAAAACAATCTGGAATGTTGATTTTCTACACATGGTCGCTCGTTCAATGCAGCAAGGACAGCGTTACTTACATTTAATTGATTGACATTAAGAAGCGGTCTCATTCTATTAGCTTCGTCCATTGATTGCTGAACATTATCATTTAAATTTTCAAGATTAAAATCTATGAATTAATCAACAACAGGCAAATTATAATCAAATAGCGTTTTACCACTTTGATTAATAATCTTTTCGATTTGAAGAAGAGTAGCTTGTTCAGCTAATATAAATGGAACTTGGCGATGAATGAAAACCTCCATCATAAAAGCTTTGTATTAATTCCAAAGATGCAATGGGTCATCAGGTTCACAAAAGGTTAAAATAATTGAAAACAGCTGCCTGATTTGCTTAGGCATTCGCGTTAAAACTGCCTCAGAAAGAGTATTCTGCCATTCAGTGTCATCTTGCAACAAACCATTAAAAACACATGCTTCACGAAAGGTTTTAAGAACTATTCCATTAACAGTACGCAAATCCTCCCAAGATTTTGCTCCTTTTGCTTGTAAAAGTAACAATCTAAGAAAAAATAATTCTCCTGTTGGACTAACTTTATACATTCTTACTATCACCTTATTTCCACCTCTTTGTCTAACCTTCCATTTACAATGTTTATCATCAAATACAAAGTGATATGGAATGTCAACATATGAGTAGCGATTGGCTCCTTCATTTTCAGAATTCAATTTAAACCAGGCCGCAAGGTGTGTATCACGTTGAGCAGCACGATCTAACGCCACTTGTTCTTCTCCTTCTCTAAAATACACAATCTGATTCTCAGGAAGATGAACCTTAAGACGTATAATAGAGTGTGACATATGACTTATGGGATACTCAAATATTCGCCACAATGCCTCAGGTGCACTAACATAACGACAATCTAAGAAAGTGTTTATTTCATCGTGATTAACCTGTTCATTTATCAAAACATTCGCACAATCATGCCCTTTGTATATGTATTTATACAAATATTTAACAGCCTTTACAGACATGCAAGCTTCAACATTAATGTGGGCTTGATATTTCTTTGATAACCAAGGATTATAAGGTACCACCCAACGGTTATCTACATTGTTGCCTTTAATATTGATAACCGAAAAAATTTATATTATAAATAATATAAATTTTCTGTTATTTCACGCCATATTGGGTTGCAAGTAAAAGTTATAAAAAGATCTGGTTTACCATACTTTTTAATAATTGCCATAGCATCTTCAAAGTTTTCTTTTAAAGCTCTAGGACTTCCTACATAAGATGATGGCAAAACTACTACTCGTCCTGGTCTAATATTACGATCATTAGCAATGTTGTTAATATGTTCATGTAAGGCATCGTACTGCTCGCTTCTCAGCTTATTTTGATTATTTCTGATAAAAGCAAGACGCTGGCCTTCAATTTTTAAATATGCATCTACAGCATATTGCTGAAATAGTTTCTTGCCATAAAATAATGAACAGAAAAATTGCCTAACAGAAAGTCTATAATTGTAGAACTGAGATAATGTAACATGATTTCTAACCAGTGTGGCACGCTCAGGGTTATGCACCAATTGATTATGCCAACCAGCATCACCTCTTGGAAAAAATAGCGGATAAACCATAGGATCCAAGTTGGCTGACATACTTGATACAATTTTTAAAGGATGACCTCTTGGGTAAATAACAACTTCCCTGGAAGTTGGGGGAGCACCATCTTCGCCAACACATGTAACTGCAACTTCATCATGTGAAGGTAGATTATAACGACGTCTATCACCGCCTTCAAGTAAAGACATTTTTACAACAAAAGCTGAGCGAACTTCTATAGCCGTCTTACGAATTTCTTCATCTTCTACTTCAGCCATGTTTTTAAATGCAAGAGCAAATGGACTATGTTCCATATTTATAGTTTGCAATTGTAACATTAAATCACGTAAACAAAGATCATTAGCATAGTGTTGCATTCTAAAATTTAGTGCAGCAAGTGGATCATAAATATATAGTTGAGAATATATTGGTGGAATATCTTGATCTGGCCTAAGATTACCTACACGATGAAAAATCTGGCCATATATTTTACAACATGGAAGCCCATGATTCATTGGTTGAACTACATTTGCTGTAAAAGAAGCAAAAGAAAGACAGGCATTATAATTTCGAATATGTTTTAAAAAATTAGCATTAGCATTACAATCTACATAACTCCCTGTAAACAAATCCTGTAAAGCTTGTGTAATTGGTGAAAGTGGAGGCAAAGCTACATTACAATTATGGCAACATAGAAAATGTGTTTCATCTGGAAATTTCTTAGCACCACAGTGCTGACAAATTTAATTCATTTCTCTTAAATAATTATAATCTGGAATAGCATTACTTCTCGCTATAGAATACATTCGTCCTTGTCCAACAGCTCTTTTTTCATTTTGGCGACGATTAACATTATCTCGATATAGCCTATTTCTTTCATTTTGGCGATGATTAACATTATCTCGATCTATCTTTCCTTTTGTAAACAATTAATTTCATCTCGCCTAAGTCTATTTCTTTCATTTCGTCTACGATTATTTTCAACACGCCTTATAGCACTTACATCATCTTGTAAATATAAAACTACATCTAGCCTATCATCCTTTTCAATGTCATCATTTTCATTAAACATATTTATCAAAGCAACACTAATTATTTCTTTTTTTTTTACTAATCTAAAGTTAACAATAAAATAAAAAAACTTTATAACTAAAATAACCATACTCGAAAAATTTAAAAAAAATATATTCAAAACAAATATATATAAAGAAACCAAACAAATGCAAAATAAAATTAATTTGCCTTCATCAAAAGTAATACAGGTTTCTTAAGTTTATTTAATAGAAGTTAAGAAAAACCCGCAACCACATCAGCAAAAACTTATTAAAACTTATTTTATTTCTAATTAAAAAAAAAAAAAAAGTTGCGACAGCGTCATAGTTCATGCGTTAGGAGAAAACATTGAACAAAACACGTAAAAAAACTTATTAATGCATTATTAATGCATTATGTACGATAGAAAACAGGTTATTAACGCGGGTTTATAACTTTTTTTCTCCTAACACACTATTATGCTGTCACAACTCCAAGGATATATATAGTTATATATATATATATATATATATATATATATATATATATATATATATATATATATATATATATATATATATATATATATATATATATATATATATATATATATATATATATATATATATATATATATATACATATATATATATATATATATATATATATATATATATATATATATATATATATATATATATATATATATATATATATATATATATATATATATATATATATATATATATATATATATATATATACAGAACTATTTATTAGTGAAAACATATGAAAACCAAACTTTTTTTTACAATATATATAGTATATATTTGATAAATATACCTCTACAATTTCTTTGGTTCAACAACTCGATAATGATTAATAACAACTCTGTAAACATGAATTTTCTAATAATTTAAATCTTAATAAATTATAACAATTAACTACTTATTTAAACAGATAATTACTTATCAAATTTTAAAAGATTTTATATATACGTAATGTCTACTTAGAAATACTTGAAAATAAATGTATCAGCTCCAATTTGATTGCTGATTTTACTAGAATGACCGCATGGAATATATAACTGCGCTTAGAAAATTTTAGAGGCAAAGAAATAGTGAATTTTACATAATGCAGAACCGTAATTAACAAAACGAACAATAGGCGTAACAATGCGCAACTATGCGCACTAATAATATTTATAGGCTATTCATTATAGGCGGATAAGCCTAAGATTTTACTTAGAGTGTTTTTCTATCAAAAAGTCAAAAAGACGAATTTTAAGTTGTGAAAAAGATATGAGAGATTGAAAATGAAAAGGTAAATTATTCCACGATTTTGCGCACTGGCTTACAATAGACAATTATCACCGTATTTTACCAAACAGCAAATTGGGATAGATAATATAAAGTTACTCAAAGATTGAAGGTAATAACGAGAACATTTTTTAATGGTTAAAAAAATTGGAGAATGTCAAAAGAAGTTTTACTTGTTTTTGACTCCAGACAAACAGACAATTTAATAAATAAACAAGATCATATAACTTAAGTTTTTTTGATTGAAATTAAAAGATGTCAGAGTTAGAAAGAATATTTTTTTTGTTGAAAAAATATTATTTTTAAAACTTTGTTTTGTAGGTTACATAACCTTAAAATAGCATTAGATAAATCATGAATAATGTCTTTTTTTACTTTGTTAATGATTTATTTGTTATGAGTAAGTTGGTATTGTCAGCAAAATGGTTTGCGTTGAAAATTTTAGAGAGATATTAAGATCATTTATAAAAATAAGGAAAAACAAATGGTCTTAATACAGAATCTTGCGGTACACCCGTGGAGCATTTTATTGGAAAAGGTTTAGCATCATTGATGGAGACAAATTGCGATTTATTATCTAAAGATATGATGAAAACCATTGCAGAGTATTACCTCGAACACCGAAATGTTCTAATTTACTTAAGAGGATGGAGTGGTCAACAGAATCAAAGCCTTTCTCAAAGTCAAGAAACACTCCACATGCAAAATATTTATTGTCAATAGAGTTTATAAAAGTTTTTAGTTATTTTATTAAGTGCATGAGTTGTGGAGTGTTTGTTACGAAATCCATACTGATATTTGTAAAAACATTAGTTTTTGTCGAGAAAGCTATAAAGTCTGTTGTACATGGCTTTTTCAAATATATTAATAATGTTAGATAGAAGAGAAATTGGTCAATAACTTCTGTGGTCCATTAGAGAACTCTTTTTATAGATAGGAATAACTTTGGCTATTTTAAAAACATCTGGAAAAAGATCTATTTTTAAAAGAATTATGCAATATGGTGCAGAGAGGCTTGCAAATAACATGAGAAGTAAGTTTAAGAAGGTGTGTGGAGATACTATTTGGTCCTAAACTTTTACCATTTTGTAAACTATTTTTTATTTAATCAGACACCTCATTTTCAGTCTCTGAATTAAGAAAGAAAGAATTAGAATTAGCATTTTTTAAATAGTCAGAAAATATACTTTTAGAAGAAGTCATTTCTAATGAAATGACTTCTCCTAAAAGAAGAAGTCATTTCATTAGAAATGAAACAATACAACATCACTTTTGGGTTGGTGTTGTATTGTTTCATAGTATTTGTTAAAAATGTTAGCAACAGCCATACTGTCTGAGACTTACTATAAGACTTGAGAGTGTAAGATTTAATTGGTGTAGAGGGTTTGATGTTAATATTTTCTTTTATTCCTGTCCATGTATTTTTTATATTGTTGAGGTTTTTGTTAAAGAAGGAGATATAGTACGACTATTTTGAAATTCCTTATAAATTGCTAATTTTATTCTTGTACAATTTAAATTTATCAAATAGTTGACTTTTTGTGTTGGAATTTTTAGATATTATATATATTTTTGTAGAGCTTATTTTTATTTGCTATTGACTTCAGAGCTCCATTAGAGATTCAAGGTTTAACTTAGGTTTTGGTCAGTTTTTGTACGGGGCATGACGATAAAGAATTGTGTTAAATATTTTTAAGAAGAAGTTCATTGATTCATTGACATTGTCACCATTTATGAATTAAACTTGAAGTCAATATTAGAAATATTCTGAATAAATTCAATATCATTGAAATGTTTAATTATTGTTTAGCTGTTATGGAATTTTTTCTTTTGAAAAGAGTACTAGGAATGCAAACAAACTGTGCCATGTGATCTAAAATTGATATCGTTACGTTACCAGAAATAAGATTAGGAATTTGAAAGTATAAAAAGTTGTTATCATTAATTGTTTCAGATTTACAGGTTACTCGCGTTGGTTGAATTATTGTTGAGTAAAAAGAATAAGAACAAAGTGAGACAAGTTAATAAGAGATAATAACGGCTTCATTGTAGTTTAGTAAGTCCATGTTAGAGTTACCCATTAACATAACCTGTTTATTTTCAGAACTAAGTTTTTCAAGTAAAGGATTAAAATAATCAGAAATAAATTCCTTTGAGTTCATTGAAGGATGCCGGTGTATGCAGCCGAGAATGATATTTTTCTTAGAAGGATTGAAGATTTCAGTAAAGACAGATTCTAGGTATTTTGGGGCATAAGCTATAAGATCTCTTACGACATTGCAGTTTAGATTGGATTGTAAGTATAGAAGAGCATCGCCTTTTTTAGTTTCAGTAGAGCATTGTTCAATGTTGTAACTATTATTAGTAATGTCAGTTATATTGGGACTGTTAATGTACAATTTAGATTCCGAAAGTACAAATACTGTTGGAAGAATGGTAAGTGAACTTATGAGACTGCGAAGTTCATCAATATGAAAATGCAAAGAACCAATGTTGAGATGAAAGTACAATTCAAAATTTGATTTTAAATTTTTATTGAGATCAAGAATATCGTAGTAATTGCAGTTGGAATAAGTATTAGAGATTTTATTTATGTCCTTAATAAAGATTTTGAACAAAAAAAAATTTGATGTATGTGACTGGATGATCGATAATTGGATGTATCTACAAACATTGTATGTATGATACTTTTGGAAGTGAATCATCCTTTGACAGTGGTTTAGCATTTTTGTCGGCGAAAGCGTTAACGTAAATGCACCAACATTTGATAATTATGGCTTTTCACACAATGACACCATCATTTGGCTATCTAAATTCTTCTACACAATCTTTTGGACAATGTTGAAGTGCATTGGGAT